TGAGCGGCTGGCAGGCCGGCTGCTGTAGGAGCCGGCACCCAAGGCCCCTGCTGAGGGGCCATGCCGCTTGCTGCGGGAACGGGACGAAGAGCGATGAGAGGAGAAGAACAGAGGGGATCGACTTCTGGAACGGCCGGAGCGTCTAAAAGGAAAGTTTGGAAACTTTATCAAAGGAAGAAAGCACTTTCACAAGTGGCTGGGGTTGAAGTCACCCTGACACATATTTGGGAAGTTGCTGTGCACTTGCATATTTAGAAACAGCCATGCTTCAATTCGACTGAACTTTTTTTTTTTTGGTTGCAATTTTAAAAAGTCTGTTTAAGTAAGCTGCTTGTTTCTTTTTTTGAGTCAACAATGCAAAGTGACAACGCCTCCCCCTCGTGTTGTTGGTACAAGCAGTCAGGGAGCCTGACTACTTTTACCCTTGTCACAGCTCTTTTAGTAACTGAGTACCGTGGCTTGGTAGATATGCCAAATGTGCTTATGAAGAGCGACTGTAACAGGTGGTAATACTTCAAATGCAACATCACAGTTTTCAAATTCAACGTATATTAATTTAACTCATTCAGTATCAGCCAATTCTAGACCAAGTCTGAAAAGACGTTTAAAAAATTTCCCCAAAATGACGTTCGAGATGTTAAGTCTGGTTGGAATGACCACTTCATCCTAATTAGAGCACACATTTGAGTGTGTGTGTTGGGTGTGGTGGGGGGGGGGGGGGGGGTTTTGGGAAACATTTCTGAGTGATATTGCCCACATAAAATGTTCAAAAAAATAAACACACATTCAAAAATAGAGTAAAACAGTGTAACTTCATCATTTCTGAAGGTATCATCTTTTTTTTGTCCGCAATTTGAAGAACCCTTTCTCCCATTGGCTGACAAGTTTTAGTTCAAAAATAAACCACGAGTAGAATAGACCAGGCCTAAATTCCAAGTAGTTCTCCAAATTGAGGGGTCAAAATTATTCGAATGTTTTTTTTTTATGATCCTCCCTGTTGTATGTGCTTTACCGACATCTTGTGGCATCTAAATGGAATTACAAAACCCTTTTCAGATCAAGCTCACCTGCTGCACTAATGAGGATAAGCACTATGGCTGTCCTGACAGAAAGAAAACTGTGCTGGCTACAAGAACTGGAGACATGCTTACCGAGACATGGGGCTGGGGCTGGTGCTGGAAGAGCGTCGTGCAGCGTAGGGACTGATGGAGCGCCTTCTAGAGTAGGGACTGCTGTCCCGCTCAAAGCTGGACGACCTGTGCCTACTGCCGTAGGGGCTGTCCGATCTCTGCCTGCTGCGCCGGCTCATGTCCCCGTAGGGACTCGGGCACTGCTGGGTGGCCTTGCGCCTCGAGTAGCCGTCGTCCAACATTGGGGCACCAAGTGGGCTCTCTCCCCTCCTGGGACTTGGTGACAAAGCAGCACTGGCAGCTTTCCTGCGAGGGCTACCTCGACTCGACTTGCCTTTGGGGCTGGACTTGTTGCTCTTGGAGGACTTGCGGTGGCTCCTTTCTCCGCGTACCTTCTGAGAGTCGCTGTGAGCGCCTTCCAGCCGCGCCTCTCGCCTCTGCTGCTTGTCCTTACGTGACTTGCCAGAGCGGCCGCTTTCCTTGCTACGTGATGAAGACGCAGAGGTACTACCTATGCTAACCATGGTGTGCATCTGGGAGAACATGGGATCTCCTCTTTTATTAAAGTCAAGCTCCTGCTGGATGTGACGCTTGGATGGTCCAGATGATAGCAATTTCTCCTTGCCCATGCCGGAAGCGCTTTTTTCACGGTCCTTGCTGCTCTTCTTCTTGTAGCCCCGTGCCCCATTACCAGGGTCCCGAACTTTGTTGGGGTCCTTGGACTTTTTCCGGGAGTGTCTGTGGCTCTTACTCTCGCGGATGGGCTCTTCCCTGATGAATTCGGGTGATGGCTCGAGGCGCTCCATCACCACAACCCTCTCAGGCAATCTGGTGCCCGGTGGGTCTAAGAATGTGTCAGAGTCCGAGCTAATATCGTCATACTCCACCAGGGGCTTCATCAGGACGCTAGGAGGCGCCGTGTGGCCCAGGGATATATATTCGGGAATCGTCGGCGGTACCACCGGCGATTCCCGAACTTTAGCCGACTTATGTCGCCTACGCTTTGACGAGGCCATCAAAGATTTGCAGTGCAACTTGCCGTCTTTGCTGGTCATGTCTCCCGCAGCTGTTTGGAGGGCGGCGTGAGCCAAGCCGCCGATGATTGATTCCGGCTTCCTCTTGGTCCCATGGCGTCGGTCCGAACCAGGCATCCCTCAAGCCGGCGTCGGTACCACCTCTCCCACGGCTAGGCCTTGGCGGTCGAAGCAACTCATTAACCGCCGATTCAAGTACAAATTCTCAAGTGTTCCTAAGCAAACAAGAATAAACGAAAATCAACACAGTAGGCCGCTATCGTCCAGTCGGCCTCCTCGGTCAATGCCGATTCATTCCACTAGTAGTGTCGTCCAAACTCGACAAAGTAGAGGAATATCCCACCGCTGTTCTCCGGGGAAACACAATATTCACTTGGAGCGAGTCCGTAAATGAAGTTTTCCTACCAAACGTTGGAGCATTGTGCTGTCGTCTTGCCGTCTCAACTTAGCTAGCACAGCTAGCTAACGCTGGGCCAGCTAGCGAGGTGAGCCGTGGAAAAAGAAAAAAAAGTCTCCTTTGTCAAAGCTGTCCTTGTCCGGTGCCAAGTTAGGGAAAAGATGATTTTATTCCACAGAATTACGGTCTTAGCGTTCACAAATTAGCAAATGTCTTCACTTTAAAAGACGCTCATCTCTCGAACAAAATGAAAACTTGACCCGGTTGGTGCTGTTTACATATTCCCTTTAATGTAAGCTTTATCCCCCTTTAAATTCAATATTGATACGAAATCATAGTTTTTTCGTGTGCAATAGATGTTCCAGTTTACTATCAATGGCTCTGGAAATCAACCAGGCCTATATTTAGGGCGATGCTAATGGATTTAATAACATCCACAGCCCTAGCCGCAGGAGACTACAAACGCCATTGTGGCTCCTGTGACTAGCAACTTCTGCACACGAAGGATTACACCGGAACTCGACGTTGTGTCAATCAAAGACGCATCCCAGCGAGAGCCAATCATCTTTAACAACCCGCCTACTTTTCTGGGGGGAGTGACAGTTTGAGATGGCCATTTTTGGATGCGGAATCAAGCATAAAATAAAACGCAGGAACTGTAATTAAGGTAAATGTGCTATTTATGGATCCGTTTCTTTTTTATTTTATTAAAGTTTTATTGAAAAAAAAACACAATTAAAAAAACTACTACCATGAATCCTCATAAATGTGTCATAAAATATTTCAATTAAGATACCTAGGAATGCCGATAATAATCAAAATCGAAGAGTTTTTAATCCAGGAGGAATGATTGAAAAGCACAAGTGACGCTAAAATGACGAGCGGAAACTGTCACGGTGGGGCGTGGTCTAGGGAGAAACGAGAAAGTGACGTTTCGCACTGCAATGAAAAAAGTTCCAAAGAACGTTTCGGGTGGGGGGGGGGGGATAATAAATAGTTCAAGTCAGCAAGTATTCAACCGTTGAAATACGTCATTCGTAAATCAAATACGTTACTAAGAGAAAAATCTAAGAGTATGACGAATGAATGCTGATTGGCTGTGCTAGAACGATTTATGATGTCGCCCACGGGCGGGCACAAAATTAATTATTCATATCATATGTGAAGTTAAAGCGGTTCAGATAATGGGTGGGTGGATATCGTTCATATATAAATCCCTGCTCCCACGGCAATAACAACATTTCCAAACAACGATCGAGGGAAAGAAAGCTGTTGGAATCAATCCAGCAAGCACCTTGATGATTTGTGTGTCATTTCGGATGTATGTGACATCAGAACTAACAATTCCACTGTCAATGTTTGTGATCGTGAAAAACGATGCCATGGCCCTAATTTTACAGTTCTGGAACCTGTATGTATGTGCTTTAACTTGTATGGCGTGCTATTGTTGTGTATATGTGAAGTGAACGTCATCTTCTGACGACTCTGTAGATAAAGGTTTTAAGGAATTATGGAAGCAAATTTGACAGCAGAGTCGAAAACAACATAAAACTCAGAAAGCGTGTTGAATAAGTTGAATAAGCAAACGATGTCAAAAGAATTTAGCTGATATTTAAAAATAAGAAAAAATCTAAGCCTTTTAATTGTGCGAAATCAACTAAAATAAAATACAAATCAGCAGCGAAAAGGACCATAGACGCGTTTGACAAATTCGGTGCTGATTGGCTCTCTTCTCACAATAGGGCGCGGCCTAATACAAACAAGGAAGTGGTATTTCCCATGCCAATAACAAAAGTTCCAAAGAACGCTTGGTGGCAAATACATTTATTATAATCAACTGAGCAAGCATGAATGCGACGTGTGTGTCAGTAGAAAACAAATGCGGCCTTTGATAATGTATGTCATGGTGGAAAAGGGTGATTTGGCCCTCATTTTAAATATTTGAGTCGTGCGCTGATAGGTTGATGTCGTGTAATTAAAACAATGATACGATTTGATGAATAATATTCTGTGTAGACATCCACTTTAGATTCCTTTATTTGTAGTTATGCGTGATATATGTGTAAGGCGGTAGTGTGCGTGGATGGGAGGGAGCGAGTGAGAAAAGGAGAGAGGGAGGGCGAACCAAAGCCAATAAGGGCCTATGCTGGCTACTCCCCGTGCACACAGCGCTTTATTTTTATTTATGCCGAGCAAGAATCTGTTACTCGTGTTTGTAGGCCCAGTCCGTGGCGTCTAAAAGCCAGCTACCCTCTCCGGGGAGGAAGGTAGCATGATAGCCGTGGATGGGAATCGGCAGGAAGAGCGTCCCCGTCTGCTGCATTCCGACTGCGCCCGCACCCGAAGCCACCGAGTCGGCAAGCGGCGGCGTCCGACATGGGGAAGGAGGTGAACGGCGTCTCGCGGAGCCGCTTTGAGGTGAGTTCACCTGGGCCCCGTCAAACCTTTGACACGCCGTTGCATCACGTCACAGGACCTCGCTTAGGACCACCATTATTACATTCGTGGACGAAAATAATAATCAACGGCGACATTGACGCGGCTCAAGCACCGTTTGGGATTAGCTGCAGTGCTTTGTGCTAACAACAACAAGGCCTTGGCTGACTTGTCAAATCGACGAAGAGGATACAAAGCGGTATTAATGTCGGCTCGTGTTGTTGTCGTCGTGTGGTGCGTTAAAGGTCCCTGGATTTCTTTTTCTCTTTGCGCCATCAAAACAAAACACTGCCAAGCTACATGTACATCAACAGCTGCCCGGGAAATCACAGTTCTTATCGACGTAGCCGGTTTTAGTTCACAATTTAAGTTCGTATTGGGGTGTGTAACGTGTACTGGACTTTTTTTTAGCAGGGGTTTTGTGCTGCAGGATCATGGGTTTGGTGTAACAGCTCCAGTCCAGATTGACAGCCGACCGCAGGCCATGTACCTCATCAACGATGGCATTTATTTAACCACAAAGAGCACATTCACTGTTTGTGTAAAGTCAGTAGAGCCCTTGCGGTTGTAGAAAAAGTAAACTTGATTGTCTACTTGCGTTAGATGTGTTTGTTGTTTATATTCGGACAAAAACTTTTTCCATAAAACTGCGGCAACGTCAGCCTTGCGTTCAGCCCTCAAGTGAGCGTTGGATTTATTTTCTTATTATGTATTTGTTTGAATAAATCAATGCGTGCAACAGATGCAGGCCGTTATCCTCCAGCCTGGACAAAACAGCTGCGGGCTAAAGCAAGCTAGCTACAGACAGCAGGCTAAAACAGAAAAAGGTCCTTGTCTTCCTTCAAAGTAAAAGAAGTGTGTGTGTTTTAGAAAGCGGATTTCCGGTTTGTGCTTTTCCCCCGATCCAATACTTAGCGTCTTACCAGATCACTGTTTCCAAACCTTTACATATTTAGAAACAAACGTTTAGAAACAACATTATCACAAAAGTACGTGCTGAAATAACGAGTGTCGCCTCAATTTATTCACAAATTAACCTGCCGAGAGTAAAATCGGTGCTTGTTTATTTGAACATAAAGCTATTGCAGTTTTGTAGCACCTGTACAAATAGCGGATTTATTATTGTTGATTGAAACTGTTAACCTATTTTTTATAGAAATGTATACAGCGCAGTGCTTGTTTACATTACGTGTTTAATTACTAATTGAACAATTAGTTTATATTAGTTTATAACTGTTGTTTAAATTATAAACAACAGTTTATAATTTAAAATGGTCTTTTAAATCTACTGCTGTTCACACAAATGGTTTTAGTTTGGCATTTTCTTTAGTTTGAATGTGATGGCTGGGCGTGTTTTGTTGTAATGTCTAATGCTATTGCTGTTGCAATACAAACTTGAATGGGCTATGTCACACTTTCCCATTATAGCACACAAGGTGAGCATTAAGCATACATTTTCCAAATCTGTTTAAGATCGGTTTAATGTCTTCGTGGTGTTGCTTTATACGGTTCTACAGCAAAGGGTTAATGGCTTGCTTGAGGTTACGGCTCTGGCGGCTTTTTAAGTCCGCTTCATTCAGTGACCTCAGTTGGCCTGCCAGAGAAAGCATAACACTCACATTCAAGCAGCGTCGGGTTCATTTTATGTTGGATTACAAAGGAGCGGGTGCGGAGAGGGGGGCCAATGTCTGCACGTCAACCGTGGAAAGAGTTGTGGATTATTTGGCCAGGGAGCACAAGTCGAGCTGTCAGAGTCAACTTGCCCTAAATCTAAATAACAAAAATATCCAAGCAGTTGGTATTGTGTAAGTCCGTATCTATACAGTACAGTATCCTGTAATATACATGCCCTTTCAAAATGGACACTGGCTGGCTCTGACCTAGATCCTCGTGCATTTTCAACCACTCTTTTTACACAACCAGATTAATAGCTGTGTGATCTTTAATGTTTATTTATTAAAAATCATCACATCACAGCCGTTTGTTTGTTTTACTGTCCGAGGGGTAGCATCTTGTAATTTCACAGAGGCAATATAGGGGGTCCCTCGCTTTGTTGACAAGGTTCCGTTCCGCTTTGGTCCGACAACTGTTTTGGGGTCTTAATACTCTTTTCTACAGGATACGATTAAACGATGCCTTTCAATATTCTCAATCATCCAGGTCATTTTATTATCAGAGCATTGATCGCAAGTAGCCTGTTGTGTCTTAAAGATGTTTCGCCTCTCATCCATGCACGCTTCATCACCCTGAGTGTCGGCGTGTATACTCAACCATTTATCCCATAAATTGAAAACCCATCCCTAATGAGAGGGGCAGACTTATGACCACACATATGTCCTCTTTTTTCCCCATTAAAAGAAAATCAATAACAACAAATAACAAACCAGAGTGAGACACTTTTGGCTTTAAGACAACCCTGCCACCGATTCAATGCTCTAAGAAAGATCATGAGCGTTAAAAAAAAAATAAAAAAAAGTGCATTCAAAGGATAACAGGTTATCAACCATCCAAAGTGCTTTCCTGATGTTTTTTTTTCTTCTTTTTTGCTTCTTTTAGCACCTGTTCAGCTCTCGTGTCCTCTTCGTGACATTGTAGCTGTACCGTATCGTCATTTACTCTTCAGTGAATTTTCGCAGTCTTTTGCTGATGTTAACTGTCTGGCGCACCTTGCAGATGTTCACAAACAGCGACGAGGCTGTCATCAATAAGAAGCTACCCAAAGAGCTGTTGCTGCGGTGAGTGACGTGTTTGTTTTTTTTTTTTCTTTTTAATCTTCAAGCAGATAACACAGACAGAATGCATATTCTTCACAATTTTAAAACCGTACTCAGGTATGTTAATATGTTTGTGACACACTTTTGCCAAAATATCCCATCCATTATCTGATGCGCTTATACTCACGAGGGTCGCAGGCACGCTGGTGCCTCCCCCAGGTACAAGCGGGGTACACCCTGAACGGGTTGCCAACCAGTCGCAAGGCACACGTAGACAAATAACTCAAAATACCCCAATGATCAAAAATCACAGCACGCTTTCCACCCTTCTATGTCCTTGCTGAACTACTGTAAGTGTGTTTTGAGGGGGCGGTCCTGTCTCATGCAAATGAGACTCTGTGCATCCTGCCCGCCTACTGTGGGGCTATTCATTACCATGGCAACCGTGGGTGGTGTTTGGTTTGCGACGAGGCGTGTGGCTACTACTAGCCCAGAATATGAAGGAATAAAAAAATGACTCATTTTAAACTTGATGAGCGGGCAGGCACTTCAGACACTTCACTATTTGTATGCAAGCAATTCAAAAGTTAATTTTCCCTCATGTGTCCCCTTGAACTCACGACAGGCCAGAAAGATCTGGATCTCATACTCAAAAGACACAATTGGCTTTCTCCGTCCTCGAACAAAAGCAAACACAGAACGCATAAATGCCCTCTGGCGATGACATCAACCGAACAGCAGGATGCACATTTCTCCTTATCCTCAACTGCTCCCTGGATGCTTCATTAAAACCAGACGCCTTTAGGTTATACAACATTCAAATTGTTTTCGGACTCGAGGGGGAGAAAAAAAAAATACGGATAAGCCTCTTAGCAAAATGAAGTCCGTAACTCAAGCCTCGGTCTCGCTCTCCCATACGTGCTTCAATACCTGCAAACTATTTCACTCTTCACTGGCTCACAGCGTCCTATTGTGACGTTAGCAGTCCGTGAAGTTGTTAGGCTGCAAGGTGACCTTTAGTAGGGGGAGGAGGAAAAACCTGATTTGTTGTGCCAATTTGATCCACATCGCGAATGAAAAGTATGAGCAGCTAACTAACGTGCACGTGATAAAATAACAGCAAAAAGTGTGGCCCTTTATTTATTTAGTTAGTTAGTTTCTCCGGTATCGGAAATAACTGGAGGAGGCCCACTGGGATCCATTGCGGTTGTCAGGGACCCGGGAGTCTTTTTAATACAGAAACAATATGCACTGATAGTAACAACATAAACATATAATTTTATTGGTGTTTTCTTGTTCCACACCACAACACTCATCACTTAACGCTGAACTTTCTGTCACCGCTTGCCCACCTCATACCCACCCACTTGCTCCACTTGCAAACGCTGCTCCGAATAAAGCATTCCATTGCAATACACCTGATAGGCCTTGTGTTTTTCCTGAGCAGAGAAACGTACTACCGATGTGATGCTGTCCGGGACCTAACTGTCCTTGCCTATCTTATAGAATCTTCTCCTTCCTGGATGTGGTGACGCTGTGTCGCTGTGCTCAGGTCTCACGGGTGAGTGAGTGCGCGCACGATCGTAATTCTAGTTTTTATATTTGTGTTCAATGACAACCGTCCACGTATGCCCTCAGTCCTGGAATGTTCTGGCTCTAGATGGAAGCAACTGGCAGCGCATCGACCTCTTTGACTTTCAGCGGGACATCGAGGTGGGCTTTGGTTTATTTGGCACCTGGCCGCATGTGCGCTGATTGTCGAGGTGAATGAGGAGACACATTGTGTGTGAACGCGTGTTATTTTTATTTTATTTTTTTTGCAGGGCCGAGTGGTGGAGAACATCTCTAAGCGATGTGGGGGGTTCCTGAGGAAGCTGAGCCTACGGGGGTGCCTCGGTGTGGGCGACAGCGCCCTGAGGTGAGAAGCCAGCCTAGAAGAGGAGAGAGGTGAATTGAAATTCTGCTGCCTTTGTGTCCCATATGAGCTTTTGTTGTGTGTGTTGTGTGTGTGTGCGTGTTTGTGTGTATTTTTGTAGGACTTTCTCACAGAACTGCAGGAACATCGAGCTGCTCAGTTTGAATGGCTGCACCAAGATCACTGACAGGTATCGCTTACATACAGTAGCTCGGGATAGGGACCATGTACTGCCACTAATAGCAAAAAAAAACAAAAAACATGAGTAATTGACGCTTCCCCATACGGTAATTATTTTTATTATACCTGTGGTAATAGTTTAAACCAGGGATGGGCAACTTAAATGTTGGCGAGGACCACAATTTTTCATCGGTACTGTTGGGGGTCCACAAAGGGCGTTTGCTGATTGATGTTTATATGGCAAAACATTGTTGTCCTCTTCTTTGCAGCACATGTAACAGCCTGAGCAAGTTCTGCCCAAAGCTGAAGCACCTGGACCTCGCTTCCTGTACCTCAATCACCAACCTGTCGCTCAAAGCCCTCAGGTGTGTACTACAAGTAGTACATTGCCTATACGAAGGAATATTGCAGTTCCATCATTTTCCTAAGGCCTTGTACACACAGCCACACCCGAATTCAGATTGGATCCAGATAGTTTGTCATGGCCTCTGAACAGCAGGCCCCCGAGTTGTTCAAATCGGGTTTCAGAGCACTTGTGTGGACAGGAGACCTTACACAGTAGAGCTTCTGATCAGCTTATCAGATTGGTTTTACGAGTGCAAACAAGACCCGGCTTTACAAAATGGCTTTCTTTCTCTTTTTATGTCACTTAACCCCCCCACAGCGAGGGCTGCCCACTGCTGGAGCAGCTCAATATCTCCTGGTGTGATCAGGTCACCAAGGATGGCATCCAGGCTCTGGTTCAGTCCAGTCCGGGACTCAAGGGTCTTTTCCTAAAAGGCTGCACGCAGGTGCGCTTGGACTTTTACCCTGTTTTAGGTTGAGTTCCACTTGTGATTCTGTGAAATATACTTTCTTTTTTCCCCCTTTTTAGCTAGAAGATGAGGCACTGAAGCATATTGGGGCGAATTGTCCCGAGTTGGTCACGCTCAACTTGCAGACATGCTCAGTAAGTGCAGTCAGTATGAAAGCAGAAGAAGGCTGCTGTGTTTGAAATCGTTTTGGGATCAGACTATGGAATATATTTATCTTAAACTATTAATTGATTTTTTTTTCTCCTATATTAAACTATACTTCCTGTACCCACGAGTAGCAGATCACAGATGATGGCCTCATCACCATTTGTCGAGGCTGCCATCGTCTTCAGTCGCTGTGTGTGTCAGGCTGCGCCAACATCACGGACGCCATCTTGCACGCGCTCGGACAGAACTGCCCCCGCCTCAGGTAACGCTCAAATACGCCTACAAATCAGATCATGTGTTATGATGTGACATTGATTAATTATGAGTTGATATGATTTTGAAACTCAATCCCCCTTTGCCTTTTTTATTTCAGAATCTTAGAAGTGGCCCGCTGCTCCCAACTTACAGACGTGGGCTTCACGACGCTAGCAAGGGTGAGTTTAAGTACATTATTAGATACAAATGATCACTATCTATTGATTGATTGGCCTATTCTTAGATGCAGGAAGACAAATTAGAAGTAAATGGCACTACGATCTATTGAATGTCTTTATAGAATTGTCACGAGCTTGAGAAGATGGATTTAGAAGAATGTGTACAGGTAAGTACAATGCTTTATCATGGTTCATCATTGTGATATTTTTTTTGGGGGGGGGGGGTGGCCACAATCACCATGCATTTTCAGGCATTAATTGAACAACTTAAGAACAGTGAAACAGAAAAAAAAACCACACTGTGCAAAAGCTGCTGTTCATGTGCAGATTCGCTGATGTCACGTGCCTTGTCATCAGTCTGCGCTGATGATTTTTCTTTTCGCTCAGATTACAGATGGAACGCTCATCCAGCTTTCTATCTACTGCCCTCGGCTGCAAGTTCTGGTGAGTGTTGCGCTCGCATCATTTTGCTGACTCACAGCCGCGCGCTGCAGTCACCCGAGTTCTTCACCCCTCCCCGCCACCCGCAGAGTCTGTCTCACTGCGAGCTCATCACCGACGACGGCATCCGCCACCTGGGCAGCGGGCCGTGCGCCCACGACCGACTGGAGGTGATCGAGCTGGACAACTGCCCGCTTATCACCGACGCCTCGCTGGAGCACTTGAAGAGCTGCCACAGTCTGGATCGCATCGAGCTCTACGACTGCCAGCAGATCACCCGAGCCGGCATCAAGAGGCTAAGGGTGAGTGGCTTTTGCTGACAGTATCGAGGTTCTCAAGTGGATGCAAATGACGGCAAGGAATTTTGAGCTCATTCCAAACGACAGATCAGGTGGTGTCCCCGAACGGCATTTCATTGCATTTTTATGCGGTAAAAGAAATAAAGACGCCTGTAGCGGAAACTTAAGAAGGTTGATTAATTCCTTTTTTTGGGGAGAAAAATTCCAGTTGAAATATAAATCCAATGGAAAATCTGAAATGATTCATGTAAATGAACAGAAAGCATCCATTCAATGTACAAGACGCAGCATTCCGCATAACTTATTCCTCTTTCATTTCTGTGCATTCGTAGACCCACCTGCCTAACATCAAAGTGCACGCGTACTTTGCCCCCGTCACTCCTCCGCCTTCGGTGGGGGGCAGCCGCCAGAGGTTTTGCCGTTGCTGCGTCGTGCTATGATGCAAAAGACATCGACATCGGTCTACTCCCCCCCTCGCTCCCCTGCGTGTGACCCGGAGTCCCTCCTATTCAAGCTTCTCTCCCAGGACCCCGCCCCTCCCTTGGTCAATCAGTACATTCTTGCTGCGTCCCCTCCACTTTATAAGCTGCAGAGAGACCAAACAGTGCAGGGTAACGCACACTCCACACATTCATGTTTTGTGCTGATGTTTAGCACGTTCACGTCAAACAGTTCCGGGGTACGGGGTTTGGGTCTCCTCTCCGGTCTTCCTGTTTGGAGTTTGCGTCGGGCTTTCCTCCCACATTCTGAAAACATGTTAAGTTCATTGAAGATTCTAAAGTGTCCACAGGTGTGAATGTGAGTGTGAATTAGGGCTGAACAATTTTGACAAATAATCTAATCGGGATTTTTAAAAAATTAAATCTTGCGATTGCAATTTAATATGCAATACTTTTTTTCACGGTTCCCTTACCAAGTTTTTCTTTTTAACAAAAATAAGCAACAAATTAATCTGTATGAGGATAAACAATATCAAATTTATGATCATAAATGTTTTGGTCTCACAGAATAGCCTTATGCTAAAATAAAAGCAAATGAACCTTGACTTAATACCAAAATCAGTTGTTCAACTTGTTGTTGTTAACTCACGAAACACGTTTGACTCTTTGAGTCCTTGAAGCATTCACCATGATAGCTCAAAAAAAAAATCTGACAAGTGTGTCGCATAAACATATGGTCATAAATGAGATTTAGAACAATGACGTCAACCAATCTGAGGCTTTATCCTTCCCCAAGCTTTTTATGTTTCATGAAACAACAATATGTTAATATGTGGAGTGCGCTTAGAAGCACCAAAACTGTTTCCCAACCGAAATGAAGCACGTTTTGCTTTGCAAATTGCAGCCTTTGCGATTTCAAATTTTCAATCCACTAGAGTGCCATGTCAATTTTGATGACTTGTTCAGCCCTAGTGTGAATGCTTGTTTGTCTACATGAGCTACTGACAACTACAGTAACCTCACAGAATTTCTTTTTTCTTTTTGCACTTTTTTTTTAAAGTGCAGAAAGGAATTGACAAAACGCGTAGTCTATATTTTAGATGAATACTGGTCGAAATCAAGATTTCGCTCCAATTAGTCCATTATTATACTCTGTGCGTTTCCCGATCCATCCGTGCAACTGGTGCCAACTCCCTTTTCGAAGTTGGCTATGCCTGTGAATCCAGGCTCCACTTCCCAAAAGGTGAGGTCCCGAGATTGAAACAAGTCTCAGAAATCTTATTTTACCTTACATACCGATGCATCTGCATGTTCGTTGGTAAGTGAATTACTTACAATTTGACGGGTGTCCGGTATTAAGTCAAACAGGATAACCACCAGTTTTTCCAGAAGTTATCATCGCTCCCTAAATGACCAAGATACAAAGCCTCCTCAAACTTTGACTCACTCTCCTGTAAAATGAGCACAAAAAAATGGAATTGGCCTACTCTTGTTCTCAATGTGTGCCCCAGCGATTGACTGGCGAGCAGTCCGGGGCGTAGCCCGCTTGTCACCCTAAACTCAGCTGGGATCGGCTCCAGCGGATAAGCAGTTAAAAAAAAAGGATGAATGGATAAATGTTAGGTTTAGTATAAAGCAAATGGAGAAAGCTGTAACAACAAACCCATTGACCTCAGGACACCTCCATTTTTTTTTTTCAACATCCAATCATAAGTTACCATCAGAAAGCACTTTTCTGATTGGATCACTCAATACGGCCCCAGGAAGAACTTTCAATACATAACATGCAGCGTCTGCCATGTGGTTGAAGTTCGTTTTTCTTGAATGTATATGGCGGGAGGGCGGGGTGTGAAGCAATGCAACGAGCATTTAAAAACATTCTTGCTGTGGATGGCGAAAGAAAGCACAGCTTCTCATCTCACATCCTGCACTGTTGGAAAAACTCCAGAGTCAGCGTCTGGGTATACCCCCGCCCCCTCCCCACTCCTTCTCAAAAAATGACACAGCCAGTGAACAGCAGCAAAAAAAAAAATGTATTGAAAAGAAGATTTAAAAAAAAAAACAGCAAGCTATCTGCTTTTTGCACCTATTGGAAAAAAACATCCAGACTGTTTACAAAGAAGAACATTTCAAAACATAATGAGGTATGTACTAACCGTGTGCCCCACTCACTGGATTCACACACTGAGGTTGGTGCCCCTCCCCTGTCTATGTTGTCTCGAAGTGCGTCATTGGCGAGGGGTGGGGGGGTGAAGAAAAAGAAAAACTATTTTTCTAAAACGAAAAGCAGCACACATTTGGGGGACTGAAGAAAATGCCAAATGTTGCATGTGACACCTATTTTTCTTTTTATTTTTGAACCCGGATGTACAGTACATAAGCGAGGACTGTGGGAGTCTTGACAGATGACATAATCGAAAGAAAGACTATGAAAAGAAGATGATGACTGGATTAAAAAAAAAAAACATTACTCTGGAAGATCAACAGGAAGAAAAAGCCAACCATCACGTTTTGCTCTGATTTCACTGACTTGTACGAAAGAGTACTAGGGTCATTCTGAAAAGATAAACATTGGTCATATTTTCTGTATCAAAATACACATTTTGGTCATGTTACAAAAATATAGTCATCGTATTGCAGAAAGTCATTTTAATTAGTGAGTGCTGCAATTGCCAAATTTCCCTGAATGTTTCAGTTCTTTGCAGACATGCCATGCATTCGTATTTACAATTTTTTTTCCTCAAAAAAGGCCAACAGTCAATGACTGTTACTTTCATAAATGACAAATTTTTATTTTCCTGAAAAAGTGCATCGTTATTTTTATAAACTACAAATTTATCCTCACGTTACGACTTTATTCAATGTAAAATTAAGAATGCACTCAGGAAATCTTTACAGGTAATGTGACAATGTTTTTGTTTTTAAACTTAAAAATCTCAGTATGACAACTGTCACGTAACTTTGGTCTAACATAATTCTACAAATTCTGATAATATTAGAAATTATGACCCATGCCCATAATATTAGTATCCAGCTTCACATTATATCATTGCATTTTTTTCTTGTAAAATTAAGACAATTTCATCTCTTTTCTCTCTGAATATACCAGCATTCTTCTGAAAAATGATTTCCCTTAACTTTATTGATGAAAAAATTTTTATTTTGTGAAATTGGCAGTTTTTATCATGAAACTTTGATTTATACTTTTTTTTGTTTGTTTTCCTCCATTTAGTGTGGCCCTAATACTCCTTCGTGGACTCCTGGGGTCCAGACCGGTTGTGGTTTTTGATGGGCCCATGAAGTATTGAAACCTCCGACTACCTGCATTTATTTTGCCCCTCATTCTATATTTCACTGCCCTCCCTTTGCCTTGTTTCTTTTCTTTTGGCGTGGCTCCGATTGCACCTGCTTCGTGTTGCGTTGTGTTCAGTGTCTCCTCTGAGATTTTGTATTTTTATCATCGTCGTAAATCTCCAGGCCAGGTGCAATTGTAAGTAGGATTTTTTTTTTCTCGCTCTCTCTCTCAGATATTACTTCTCATATTTTCCTGAATTGAAAAAGGCTCTTCAGGCATGACGTGCCACTTTGGAATAATCCTGCTTCATTTCTATATGTCGCCCTCTTTTCTGCTATTACCTTACACCAAATTCCCCAAACGTGACTGAAATGTGGAATGTTAAAGCGTCCTAAATGTCCCCAAAATGGATTGAAGGAGGCTAAACAAGCTTGAGTCAAGATTCTCATAATTTTTTGGGGGGATAATGCAAAGCAGGATGAGCCCCGTGTAATCCTGCCGTTTTGTTCGAGCGGGGCTCTGCATTGGGTGGGGGATTAGGGAACGTGTCAAAATGGCAGCCGTGTACCCCCGAGAAAGAAAAGCGGGATTGATTTTCCTGGCCCATGTGTCAATACGAGAGAAACGCCTTAAGGAGCTTGCGGACCAAAGTGTCAATGCTAACTCTGAAAAGCTTGAATCAGCCCACTGACCCATGTGTCAACGCTAACTCTGAAAAATAAAGGAAGGAACGTGCGATGAAGTCTTCTGGCCCACGTGTCAATGCTGCTGGTCCAAATGTCAACACTGACTCTGAAAATGCAAGGAGACTTCTGGCCAGTGTGTTCACATTCACTCTGAATTTTACAGATTGTGAGGAGAGAAAGAATCCGCTGGCCTATGTCAACTTTGGAGGAAAGTGAGAGCAGCTCGCTGGACCTTGTGTCAATGCTAATAATGGATTTACTGTGAGAAAACCACAAAAGAGCCTGCTGGCCCATGTGTCAAGGCTAACTCTTAACGCCGGTAGGAATGGTGCAAAGATGTCTGTTGGCTCATGTGTCAGCGCTCACTTTGGAAAGCATAGAGCAGCTCACAGAACCGTCTGGCAACGCTAGCTTTGAATATTCCGGTCAGAAAGTGTAGAGGACGTTGTTGGCTCGTGCGTCAATGCTAACGCTTGGCTAGTCAATTGGCCCGTGTGTCGACAGCTCACTGTTGAGAATAACGGTAGGAAAGCTTGTGTCAACATCATCGCAAAACAAACACACGGTTGGTTCCCCTTGCATTTGAAAACACACAAACACTGGAGTTAGAATGCAAGAGGTGAACCCAGCCACCCGGGTGCCCCAAAACAGGACGCCTTCTTCATTGAAATCTGGGCGATATTTAAAATTGACAATGACTGTAGTTCATGAAATTACTGTAAATCTTTTCCTTTTATTTTTTATTGTTTTCATCTTTTTTTTTGTACAATTAACCGATATAAATGAATATGTATGTATAAATAAATATATACCTATATTATTAAGGCTGGCGTAGTTTTGTCACAAAGTGCTTGGGCTGTTTTATACCCTCATAGGACCACGAGATGGCAGCATTGAGCTTGTATGGAGATTCGTGCCATCGACTCTGGCCACCTGAGTAAAGAGATGCTGATGACCGCTCCATTGCGAACAATGCCCCGAGAAACCGGATGATGGATGCCACTCAACTCCAGGCACGTTTAAAGGAGGTGAGAGCCCCCCGAGTGGCAAGTCAGACCATTCGAAACCGTTTCGATGACCCGCAAGGGTACTTGACCACACCACCGGGCAACAGGCTTCATCGTCTTGAATGGTCGGGCCATTGAGCCTCAGTCCTGCTCTGTGATGATCGTCGATTTCACGATGAGCAGAAAATGTCGACTTGTGAACCGCATGAGATGATGTCGTCAAGCTGTAATTGATGCTAAAAATCACATGACGAGTTGTGTTTGTTGTTGTTAACTTTTGGTTTAATGAATTGCTTCCAATGAGGAAATCACCTGTACATCCTTGGACTTAAATGTCCTACTTTCATGATATATCACTGCAGCGTGAAGTTTTTACATGTTCCATCAATTTCACATGAAAGCCACTTATCCCTAACTTTTTTTGTGAGTTGTGTATCTTTCTATATGTGATATAATGTGATCGAGCGTCTTGCTCCGCAGCCTTGTGGTGGCACCGTGACGTCCATCATCGGAACTGCGATCCCTTTCCTGTCTCCTGAGTCCTTTTGTGTCCCACTTTTGTTTTCTCTGAAAAGCTTCAAGGAGAATGCCAAGTGTGTGTGTGTGTGTGTGTGTGTGTGTGTGTGTGTGTGTGTGTGTGTTTTCTCCCCCTGCAGCAATTTTCACGGCTGTTTTGCGCGGATGGATCAGTTCACCACTCACGCAGCGGTTGTCTGCCATTGTTTTTGACAGCACTCATTTGACGTTGCAACTATTTTACCTGCAGTGTTTTTAAAGACACCTTTATATGACAACAAACTAGGAAAAATTAATGGCATGTAATATACATTCCAGGTCCGTAGAGCGCAATGACTCTTTATAAAGAAATACGACACACTCGTTTTCTTGCCTTCTATCCAAAACGTTGTTTTTAATAGCCATCGTAGGTGGCTGAGCTATGCCGCCCCCAAGAAAACAAGCACTCTCTTCCTATTGTACATTAAAAGACAATAATAGCATCGTTAAAACAAATGTGAAGAAATTGCATCGCGCTTTCATGCTTCAACTCATTTAATTGTGCTGCTCCTTCTGTTGTGCCCGCCATGTACCCTGAGGAGGCAATATATTACAGACATCAGTCACTGTAAACTGCAATCAGAATATTTTTCACAGAGGACAAAGAATGTTCTCCGTTTGTTGTAGTAACCGTTGCACAGCAGGTTATAGTGCTGCGACCGTTGGCGCTAACTGTGAGCCTCTCATTGGCATTTCCATTCTAATTAAATAGTCTGTCTCTTTACACTCTCTTTGTTTTATGTTTAGTTTGACATCAAATTTGAAATGGGGAAAAATGGTAAAATAAATATTCAAACATATGTAAAGATTTGTTTTAATTTAAAAAAAAAATCCCTGCGTGCCAAATCATGAATATTCAAACTCTTTTACATGTAATTTTACAGCCAAAAGAATGTTCCCGTCATAATAAATGCACAATCCTGTTTGAGAGTAAGAAAGCAAGAGGAGTCTAGTTGACGGTGAATGAGTAGTGTGCACGTTTTCTATATTTGGTGCTACGTGCGTGCGTGGTGTTTCGTGGCGCGGTTGTAAAACGGCCCCGCCAATAGCGCGAATTCCACGCATGAGTGGGCGTGGCTCGCGTGCACTCGCCCTCACTGATTTTTACGCGCGCCATACGTGCTGACCAAAAAGGCAAGACAGCCAACCACAATATAATCCGAGACACTACTGGGTTTATTTTGGATTATTTTCCAACCAACCTTAAGTGACATTTTTGCATCTTTTTTGGGTGTGGGGAGGAGAGCGCGCAATGCGGGTCTCGACGTGTCGTCCACGCCTGGCGTGATATTCCCGCGTGGGTCATAAAAGTGTGTTTTTTAATATTCGTGTGGGTTTTTTTTTGTTTCTTTTTTTTAGAGTTTGTGTTTTACTCCAATCAGTTTGGCCATGACAGAGATCAAAGAGATGGAGAACGACTCTCAGCTGCAACTGACCAGCCATCCGCTGCCGTCAAAGGTAAACGAACACACACACACGCACGCAAACTCACGCACACGCACACGCACTCAATTGATCCTGTACTAATGGAGCGCCAATTTGGACTCTGGTTCTGAATTTTTGTGCGTCTGTGTGCGTGTGTTTTCTACCTGCTCTGGTGTTCTTCCACCTGTTTCTCAATTATGTAAGAGGTGGCACTGATGGCATAACAGATGTGAGTAGTACATTTAGAAATTAGATTTGGCGCCATTACGCACAGGCGCACCGCCACTTGTGTGTGTCATGTGTAGATTTGTACATACTGATGGATCCCGACTGCCTTTTTTTGTCATTATCCGAGCATGTATCAGCGCTTTTTGAGTTTTTTTCTGTTCATCTGAAAAACAAAGCCAACATTTTAAAAAATCTGTTTTAACACGCCGCACACCACAGGATAATCTGTGAGGATAATCTTGCAGATTCATCTCCTGATTTTGGCAGGAAAAGGGAGGGGCGGGGGCATTCAGAACACACCCCAAACCCTCGGATAATCACTCAGGATAATCAGTTACAGGAATCCAAGAGTCTGCTGATTTAGATAAAAAGGATGGGAAGAAAATGCTTCAATTCGATTTGATTGTTGGTGTGTGTGTACCCCACTTAAATATTTATGGTCGCATGTATTGAATAGGATTACGTCAACAAAATTTCTGCGCTAATCAGGTTGAAAAAAACTTCTTAACAAACACCAGAGAAATCACTTAAACAACAATTAAAAATTTAATTGGTCAGTATGCACGATGGATTTAAAAGCGATTAAAAAAAAAAAAACAAAAAAAAAAAACGATCATACCGATACCTGTGCAGTATGGAGAGAATATATTAGTAGTGTAGTAGTCATTTATGATGAGCACAAGTGTCTCCTTCGTTCCAAGTGACTCTGTCCGGCTTTGTTGCTCACCAGCTGCTGCTGTGTGCTGATATTCACTGACAAAGCACTGACACGATTCACTGATGTGCATTACAAGCGCTCATCCTCGCACTCAGTGGCCTCCAGATCGATCGAGGGATGGACAGATGAAGACCCGGGCTACGTGTACTTCCAATGATCCACATCCAATACATTTTCTCTTTTAGCCTTTTGGCCTTTGCCTAACTGACACACACCCACTGGGTATTCATCATCATTTACACAACTCCCCATTTACACCCCATTTACATGCAAGTAACAAAAATAACTCAAGTCATATTTCCCCATAGAAATGAATGGAAATTTGATTAATCCGTTCCAGCTCTGAGAAATGAACTACTGAAATATGAAAACTTTCACTTCTAAATTCTGTGCCATTCAAATTGATTGAACTTCATCTGAAAAGCATTTTTTGCTAAATGATTCCATAGTCCGCCTATACATACACATGTGGCTAAGACTCTCCGTAACTTTCACTAGCAACCCAGGCTAACCTCCTCCCCAGCACACAAAAGTTGACTCTCTTTTGAGATTTATCACTTCAATATACTTTCTGGACACCATTACTGTACTAACGAAGGATAGCTTTCCAAACCACGTGAGTGGATATATTTGCTAATTACAGTACAACAGGTTGTCTTCTCAAATTTCAATTTCATTCGAAATTATTTGAGGATAGAAATACCAAAATATCTTGACATGCTTTCATCCAAGCATCGTATGCATATGTATGCTGTGTTTAATGGGACCAAGATGACAGGGAATATCGCTGCGATCATAATCGCTCGCTAAAATTGACACTCGGCGACAATGACACGTTTTTGTAGATGACAATCAGATGTCAAGAGGAGGCAGAGGATTAACCAGACCGGCTTTTTCCTCTTCTCTCTCTTGCCACGGGTGCGTTGCCAAGGCTGGCAGACGCGAACGAGCGATCGCTCATTGTTGTTATTTTAGTTCATTGTTGGAATACAATGGGAGCGACTCATGCTGCCGTTTATAGTCCTGTGCTTGTCTTCAACCGGTGTGCCTGCCTGCTTGATCTTGTGTATCGCTTCCTCATTGGATGGGGACAAATAGCGCAAGAAAAAGCTAAATTCTTTTCACGTCACACTTTAATCATTTTGGTAAGCTATTTTATTTTTCTTTACTTTGCTTTTAAATCTGTTCAACTCAAACTTAATTTCAACAGTTTTTTTTTTTTTTTTGGTCAGAAACTCAGAAGTTAAGGCTCGCTCCACTGGATTCTTATTTATCGTCTGTGAGTACAGAAAGATTGCGATGTCGTACATCCAACAGCTAACGATGTGCCTGAATGCTGTTCTGACAGTTCCCCCTTCATTGGAGCCGATCCTTTTAAGATTCACATACTCCGCTGACACTTCACTGGGGAGTCTGGCAAGAAGGGGGCGTCTCAAATAGGCCTCATCAATTAGAGGGACACCTTATCTGTATTGATTGGTGGTCGAACACCATTAAAAACTAAGCTTCCTAATCAAAAGTGCTGGAAGCGGTAAAACAAGGCCTGGCAGGAAAGTGTTTGATTTGGGATAGCGGTGGTGTGTTATCATAGAAATGAGCACAGACCTCCTTCTCGACACAGCAAAGCTGTCAGAGATGAGGCGGCCTAGTTAGAGCGTAAAAAATTGTATCCCCCAAATTACACCGCGCTCTTGTTCCTTGAGCTCTTTGAAGTTTTTTTTTTTTTTTCAGGTTCTAGTCGCGGAATAGGAAGGCGAAGAGTAGCTCACGGTGTGATACGATCACCATCATTTGGTTTTGTGATACAGTGCGAATCAACATATTGGAAAGGAAAGCCAGCATATGTTTAACTGAAATGCTGCAATCTTTTTATTCAAAATAGAAGAAGCATGCACAGGTGGACCGATACTGTAACATTAGCTATGATACAATATCGAATCTGTGTCCTTCGCTGTCGTTTATATTGTGTGAATTAGCTCAAAGATAATCTCGCATTGGATTTGAAATGACATCATATGTGATTGAGACTCTCAGAAAGGTTTGAATTTAACTGTGTCGCAATACGATACTATCTTAGCGGTATCACGATAAAGGCAATTGCGCCTTAACATTTATGTAACTGAAAAGGGAACCACTTGTAGAAACTGACTATTCAAAGTAAAAGAAGCATGCGCTGATGAATCGATAATGTCTCGGGAGAGACGATATGGTAATTATATCGATATCATACCACAGTGCTGCAAGTGTTTTGAACAAAGTTAGCCATCCTTCTTATTGTGCTTGTCTGTCATGGTTGATACTGTCAAAGTGGTATGAATTTACCTGAGTATTAATAGTATCATTAAGATATCATGATACAGCAGTCACATTATCATCAACATAGCTGAAAGGCATTGAAGAAAATTCAAATACACTCACAATGCAACCATTTGGTATCATGATATGTCAATAATTGATATATTGTTTGGACACCGAGCATCTGTATGACTGAAAAGTGTCAAACAGACTTCTTACTTAAAACTCAAAAATCCTGTACTGGTCAATTGAAGGAATAACTTCTCTCAGGTGTGAGGATCCTTTTTATTTATTTGAAAATGTAGCCCCCAAAGCCAGTTTCACTTAGTGATCTGAAATTAAATGAGCATGTCTTTTACAAGTAGACCCTCAAAAATCCATTATCCGAGTCGCTGATCTTCATGAGGGTCGCAGGTGTTCTGGAAAAATTCTCAAGAAGCTTTGCCCGAAAAGACATTGTCAGTCTGCCATTTTGATTTGAACTGGCCACTTTAAAGCTTATTTTGGCCATTTCAACCGATTTTTCAAACTTGCAACGATTTTGTCCATTTTGCTACCAAATTTGAACCACGTATACTCGACAAATAAATGAAACTAAACGGTCAAACGTTTCAATTTTCTTCATTGCGTGTGGGCGGAGCATGTTTGATGACTCACCGGGCGCCCAGCTTTCAATATCGTATCATATTTCCGCACAGTGGAGCTTGAACACTGAATTATAGCTGATGTATGACACATTGATTGGCTGTCTGTCGATGAGAATAATGGGCTATTTCAGGTCTGCGCGGTCTTTTGTTCGAGAGGATGCCCTTGCATATTGATTGATAACACTGAGCACCTTGCGTGGTAGCCCAACGGGGTGCTCAGTACCCAATATTAAGGAGCTAATGCATTTCATCTCAGCTGTCACATACAATGTTCGTGTGAGACGACCTCCACCGATGGAGCTAATGGTGAAACGGAAAGCTCTTTTCTCTCCAGCTCTCCGAGGATTCGATTAATTGTAATTGAGACGCGCGTCTCCAGTTCAACGGTCATTTGTCCTAATTGATAGACACAAGCATGATGCTTTAAAAAGCACCATGGATTACACCGACCGAGAGCTCGCTTACATTCGCTGCGCCCAAAATATTAGAGGCAGCCAGTGTGAATAAGCACATCGTGAAATGGTCCGCTCTATCTCCTACAGTTATACTCAGCCAACTTTTTCCAAGAATATTACATTAAATTTACTTCAAGGTCAATATACCAAAAAAAAAAAAAACTGTCCAAAATTGAATCTTCAGCACTTCTACCTACCCAAATCCAATCTTCAACCCAGTCTGCCGGGTCATAATAAATAACCCAATCTGCTCCAAATCCACAGCTGCTCATCGAATGGTTAGGAAAACAACCCATCATTTTTTTTTTTTTTTTGTGTGTGTGCATGTATGTATCTCTATATAATGATTTTCCACTTTTTGAATTGCACTACCAAAATAAAATTAAGCTTTCCACCATATTTTAATTTATTGAAATGCACTATATAATTTATTGAAATGGCATTCTCTGCCAGTTTATCGTTCTCAATTACATTTTTAATTTGATGAACAAAGCCCTCGGATGAGCCATTTTCTTTTTTCATTTCATATAAAAACAGTTCATTTGTTCAACTCAATAAGCAAACCGTGTATCTCCGTGATGGCCTATTTACTTCTGATGAAGCCTCACTTAAACCTTTTTACTGGGGGAAGTGATGCGTGATGGTGTTCCGCTTTTAATTCAGGCGTGCCCATTCCACAGCTTCATTTGCATTGATGTTCAGTGAATCGTCATAAACCGACCATGTTTTGTTTACCATGTAGCATGTAGCATGTGATTATGCATATATCTACACACACACACACACACACACACACACACACACACACACACACACACACACACACACACACACTTCAAAAAGAATCTCATACACACAAATATATATACACACACACACACACACACACACACACACACACACACACACACACACACACACACACACACACACTTGTAAAGTAGCATCATTGCCAAATGGCTGTCAGCGAGCTCGTGATCCGCTTATCTTTCTGGATCGATACGACCTGCTGAGGCCTCTCCCGTGTGATTTTTATGGAATCCATCATCCGAGACCCTGCGTGGCAATCGAGGCTGCTTTTTGTCCATACGCCTGACACACAACGTATTTTTTGATGCCCTTTCACAACACCTCCCACTAGATTACAAGGCCGGTACATGCTGTTGGTATATGATAAAGCCCATTTGATCACAATGGCCCCGATGCCACTAAGGAAAGGCCATTTACACACGTGAGCCCCGCCTCAGCCCCTCCCATGTGTGAGGATGTTCACCGAGGGGATTATCTGGTTTAGCCCTGTTTGCAAGAACGCTAGCTTTGAACGGACTGTGCTAGGATGAGGACGTGACACCTCCAGGAAGTGAAAATAGAGGAAAACCTGCATCACTTTTGCAGCTATGATAGCGTCCACCGTTCTGGGAGGACTTTGGAAAGATGTCAACGGGATTGTTCTTCGACATCAACCTCGTCCAAGCTTCCCTTTTTGCGCCTTAGCTTTGGCAAATAAGTCATTAACTGCCAGTTGCTTTCAAAGCAGAGTTCCCCATATTGGTAGAAAACACACAGTAGTCTCTTCTTTTTTGACCTTTTCCCATTTTTTAGTAATCAACAGTAGAACAAGGGTTTGATTCACCAAAAACACCAGTTGCTGAGCAAAAAGATCAGAAAATTTGCTTTTTGTGAAAAGACCCATGTCAAGCAAAACAGTGACGTTAATGCAAATTTTTTTCCCCGATAATTTCCTGTGGAACTGGACAATTTCTTAAGGCTGTTTGAGATTTTGTAAGGTGAACAAAAACTGCATCATGCTATTTGGTCTCGTGGCATACTCTTCTGAAGTCTGATGATTCTTGTTCAATCCCTGTGTCCCAATACTTTTGTCCACAGCTGATCTTGCTGTTTCTTTCCGAGGTTTTATTTGATTTGGGACTCATCGTGTTCTTTTTATCCCACGGCGCTCGTAACACAGCAGAATGAAACTGTAAAATTGTTCTCATTCCTTCCCGGAAGCCCAGTCTGATTTTTCTTCAAAAATGTGCAGCATTATTGCCTTTCTTTTTTTTTGTGCAATTTCTCAGGAAACAACTGTGGTTCCGCTCAAGCCATTAAAAAAAGAAAAAGTTACAATCGTCCAATCTGCATCACGCATGTGTGATATGATTTTACCTATAAACTAACTTCTGTTTACTTCAACACTTACGTATCTCATTACACAGCATTAGACAAGGCTATGGCCAGATTAAATGAAGCTCCTCCGTTCTCTTCAACATAGTTCCCTGACAACAGGATGGCGCCAAAGTAAGATATTTATTTCAGATATGGCTTTGGCTTGATCATCCGTGTGTGTGTGTGTGTGTGTCTGTTTAGTTGCAGAGATTGAAGCGCTCGTTGTCGTTCATGCGCAGTAAGAGCGTTGAGAACTTCTTCCAGCGCTCCTACAGCGACGCCCGCCTCCCCCCCGAGCTCATCACGGAGCCTGCGCCCCCCTCATCGCCTTCACCGCCCCCGTCGGAGCTGATGGGCTCGCCTATTGGGAGCTCACGGCCCTCGCCGTCGCTGTCGCCGTCGGTCAGTCCCAACCCTTCCATCGCCTCCCACTCGCCCTCGCTCAGACTTTCCCCGTCGCTGCCCCCCAAGCCCGCCCAGCCAGCTCAGATCACGCACTGCTTCCACAATCATGTCTTTCGCAAGCCCACCAACTGCGAGCTCTGCAAGAACATGATCCTAGGTGAGACCACCATTACTTACCCACGCTTATCCTCACATTTTGTTCATTCTCACTGACTTAGAGATGTGCAAGAGGGTAGAAAATATGAATAGTTGATTAAGTTACGGAATTTCAGAAATTATCCGGGTTGAAACCTTATTCAGAGTAATTTCATGGAAAGGTATCCTATTCAACAATAAATATAATTTTTGTGTGTGTTTTAACAGTCCCTGGAAAGTGGAGATAAATATTTGACACACTTTGACCGTCTTGCATATTTATCACTTATTTTTCTCAGATTTTTATAAATAGTCTGTGCAAATGGCTCTCAGCATAATTTTCAAGTCATCACCTGTTTAATAATTTCTATGTTTTGAAACACACCTCGCAGGACGTTATTTTTATTCAAAGAATTAAAATGTAGGTATGTTTTTAGGCCTGATTGCATGAAATGAAATGTAGCTCGGATGCAAACATTTCACTCAGTGTGATTCTAGTTTTGACTCTCGCTCAGCACACACAATCTGTGTGCATTTATTTAGTATTTTTCCGCTGGTCTTTTTGCTACTTCCCATCACACTGATGGATTCTCGACCACAAAATGCTCCTCTTCTCTTGCATTCTAATGTTTTTTCCCGCTAGCATGCATGGTGTCTTCATTGTTATTACGTAATGGATCATCCAGCCTTCCTGCAGCCTTCTGCACTCACGCCCTCCCTATGCAGCTTTAATCAACCCATCGGAGAAGTCAAAGAAGCACTCATGTATAATTACGACACGACTGGCCTAGGATAGGGAATAAAATGCGCTTGTGAATCATTCGAAACGACGCAGATCGTCGTGTCGGAGTGCTTTTGACACTGTGATGGAACCGTGACGAACCAATTACATCTGTCTTGCTTCCCGCATAGGAAACTCCAAACAGGCTTTGCGGTGTAAAACGTGCAAGCTGGCGGCACACCTGTGGTGCACTTCAGAACTCTCGCAGCAGCCGTGTTACGGAAAGGTACGACAAAACACACTCACACAGGACATATTTACTACGCAGCATCAGAGGTTTCGAAACTACGATCCAGGAGGGCATTTGGGTGGCATGGCAGCAAAAGAGGCGTACCTTCCTGTCACCTCTTACTTTCTTCTTTTCCACCAATCACACGTCGCTAAATTAAGCCAATGCCTGAGGATGCAGGTGTCACATTGCTTCGAATTTGAGATCAGCACAGCTTTCGAGTAGAAAATAAAGATTAGGTGCTGAAACTTGACCTGTCACGTTGATAATGAGGGAGATTGTTAGCCAAGACTTTTCCCTGCCCATTCTGATAAAAAAAAACAAACAAAAAAATAGTTTACGGCATTTCACGTGAACGGCACTCAAATATATCAGAGGAACTGTGTATCCCGAGCAGTCCCCCAAAAAAAATACGAGGTGTGAGAGGCGAGTAGGTAAGCTCAAATGTCTCAGCGTGAACAAAGACTAAACACTGATTACCTCACGAATGGGTTCCCTCTGCATAATGTGACAGAGTGGCTCATTTGCAAGCTGAGGCAGCGACAGTTATTTGCTTAATTCAGTGTGAAATGACAGCTCGATGTTAAAAAGCCCCGCGTTGAAAGTCGCCGCTACAGCCGACTGAGATGTTCCTTGGCGCCAGTGTGTTTTCCATTCGAGAGAATCTCGTCAAATGACTCGGTTGAAGTCTCCCGTAATGGAGGAGTGGGGGGCCTTGACGATGGGACTAATGGAAGCTGAACAAAAATCATTCTGCTCTGTGTTCTCCTCCGTTAGTCGGGCGCCTTCAAGCGAAACTTCAGCTCACCCATGCTCGTCACCGAACAACTAGCCGTCGTCAAGGAAGTCCAGCCCAGTCAAGGTGAGTGTGTGCGTTTGTGTGTTGTTTGGTAATATCGAGCATGTTAGTAAATTCCCATAAGAGGCTCATGAAAGGTTTTCAGGCATTCATGAAAAATAATCCAATTAAAAAGCATGACATTTCAGAACAGATTTATATGGAAATATTTTATCGGGCAGTCGAGTCATTGAAGAACAAAAGCATGAATGTGGGAGTTTGCCGTAATGTAGCTCATCTATTTGACAATAAGGCCATTCCCATTTTTATGAAGACAATGTTTCAACAAAATTGGCTGCAAATACCATACGTCAGTACCCAATGACATTAAAAGCAGCTGACTTGTCCTCAAACAGGCCACCGTACTGTACGAAAGGTCAACACATGGGTTCATTTGTCACTCCGAATCAGACTATAGCGCCTTGTGCTGTCACTTCCTTTTAGTCTCCGCCAACGAGGGCCAAAATTAACCCACAACATCACAGGAAGTCAGGGATATTTTAAAATAAACGTCTGAGTGTCATAGAGATGCCACCTCAAGAAATGAAGCCAAAGAAAAAAAACAAAGCTTTTGCTTGGAATCATGAGCGATCTCATCATGGTGTCCAGCAATGTCGTTGCCTTAGCAGCAGCTAACAAGAGGGCTCCTGGATCTGGCGGGGCATTGTGTTCCATTTGGGGAATGCAAAATTGCTAATGCTAGTGCTAATCTTCTCCGGCGAACTTTAGCCGTTTGCTAAATTGGCTTGTTGAACCATGGCAACTCCCTGTTGAGAACCAAAGTTCAAAATTTTCACAATTTTGAAGACAACGGTGCCATCTGGTAGGGCTTTTCATTATTCATTATATTTGGCTTTTTGTTAAATGAGCTTGCCGACTCATGACAAATTATCGCGAGCCAAATCTGGTGGAGCTAAGGTTTGTCATTTGCTAAATTAGCTTGTTGAACCATGGCAATTCCCTGTTGAGAACCAAAGTTAACAATTTTTGAAGACAACGGTGCCATTTGGTAGGGCTTTTCGTTATTCGTTATATTTGGCTTTTTGTTAAATGAGCTTGCCGACTCATGACAAATTATCGCGAGCCAAATCTGGTGGGGCACTGTCCCATTTCACCCAAATACGAAATTTCCCTTGACAAATCTTTGACTTTTTTGATAATTTCACTCATTGAGTCATACAAAAACCCAGATTGGGGACCGGAACTTGATTTTTGACAAGAAAATATACCATTAAAAAGCACTCTTTGGCCACACAAACGGTTTTACGATGTGTGCCACAGACTAAAATGAAAGAATTCAAATGCGAAATTTCTCTTGACAAATCTTTGACTTCTTTGATAATTTAACTCATTGAGTCATACAAAAACCCCGATTGGGGACCGGAACATGCTTTTTGACAAGAAAATATACCATTAAAAAGCACTCTTTGGCCACAAAAACGGTTTTACGATGTGTGCCAGAGACTAAAATGAAAGCATGCTGATTTTTCGACCCGTTTTGATCCCTCCTTAAGTTTTGGCTCCTTTCTCAAACTCGTAAGTGGGTCACCCCAGCTAAATTTAGACTCCCTACCCTATTCTTCGCCCACGCCGACATGCATGCCCAATATGCCCAGCGTTTTGCCTGTGTGTGTGATTTCAGAAGTGGTGCGGGCACGTGTGGACCCGGTCTACGCCGCCTTGCGCTACGGGACGTCGCTGGCGCAGATGAGCCGCTCCAGTTTCGGCAGCATGTCGGACTCGCCGACGCGCAGTTTGGTACAAGATTGAGATCGAATTTACTTGGCAGTCATGAACCACCAATGCATCCCAATTCTGTCTTTGGAGTGAACCCCCTTGGTGTGGCGCGGTTTGGAGTTCACGGCACGTGACTGCCAACTCTTGAAAAAAAAAAAATCAAATACATTTGTTCAGTACAGTTCCATTGTATTTAACTTTAAATACAATGCATTTGCATTGAATCATTTAGAACGGTTAGTTTTCGAACATTTATTCGGAGTCTTCAGGTTACTTTTAAGAAGTATTTCAGTAGATTTAGGAGTAGTTCTGTAACTTTTAGAAAGTAACTGAGTACATCCGGGAGTGTTTAGGTCACATTGTACATGAACACTTGGGCCTACTACGCCATTGTATTTTAATGTTGGTCTATATGGTGGTACTGTGAGAGCCAACTATTTATGGGTCTGAAACAACCCCCCCCCCCCCCCCACACACACACACACACACACACACACATTTTTTGTTCCTAACTCACTTATAAGACGTCATCCCTGAAAGGTTCGGCGGGTCACTTTGCCGAGGCTTCCATCTTTTCAACTCCTAACTATGCTTTTGAGTCTCTTCCATTTTGCATGTGCGGTGCCATCAAAGGCCCTCCATTAACATGTAGTGTATGCTTGTTGTTGATCAAAGGGTGAGGCGGGTGAGGAGAGGCAGGAGAGACAGTGCAGCATGGAGGAAGACATCCTTCAGGAGGCAGGAGGTAATATCACCGCAGTGTGTTTGTCTGTTGTATCCATGCATGCATTGACACAGCTTAGAGCGTGTTTGCATGCATGTATTTACCTTAAGCCACAACTCACATCCGGGCGCTCACACGCTATCGGGCCAACTGGCACATCCAACACGTATATTCAATGTTATGTACGATAATTGGAATGGATTGATTTACATATAACATGCATGTAATGAATGCATTGGTGTTGTGCTGAATGATTCAAATAATTTAATCATATAATCAATCATGTAATTGCAATTTTTTTTTTTTACCACTCAATATTCCGAATGCGATTTAATGTGCGGTTATTTTTTGTTAAGGTCCTCCTCCCATCGTATTTTTTTTTTTGCAGAAATTAATCCGTATTACAAAGGCCAATAAGCTATATTAGACATACATTTACTCACGTAACATGCACGGATGTGCTGGTGTTACTACGCGTCGACATGAATGTGCGTGTGTATTTACCGCCAAACACATGGTGGTAAATACTCACGTCAGCGTTGTCTGGCACGTGTTCATACGTTTTCTCTTCCAGACTCGGTTGCCGCCGACATTGAAGTGGAGAAGGATCAAGACGAGGGTGCCAGTCAGGCTGAGACGCCTGCTGAGGTGCGTGTTTGTGCGGCACAGTTGATGGTTGGGGTGAGCGCATTTGCCATTTTTGCAGAGTTGATTCAATTACTTCATTACGATTACTTACTATTAAAAAAAAAAAGAAAAAAAAGGGGGGGCGGGGTTATGGTTGCCGTATCTGGTGAATCGCACTTATATATACCGTACATTTGCTGCCCTTTGAAATATTGTAAATAGGGGGGTTGTTGTGGACCCCGCCCCTCCCCTTTGCACGCCACTGCGTGTGTAGCGCCTCACTCCCTCCTTCCCCTTTCCAGGTGCCTCCCAAACGAATCGAGGTGCATTCCATGCATACTTACGTGGCGCTCTACAGCTTTCTGCCTCAGGAACACAACGACCTGGAACTACAGTGAGTCAACACACATCCGATTGTTTTGATGAAAAATGGCCGTCTGACTTCATCATCGTGTCCTCAGAGGACACGTTTGAGGGGCCTCCCAGGATGACTAATTTTGCACTTTGGAGTTTGTACTTTCGCCCCTTGCCTGCGTGGATTTTCTCCGGGTACTCCACTTTATACTTCCACATTCCAAAAACATGCATAGTAGCTTAATTGAACACTTGAAATTGTCCCTAGTCCCGAGTCCCGGTCTGCAGGCCGATGTTTGGCGACCACTGCTCTCACGTTTTTTTTAACCTTCGTTTTGGAATGAATCTGTCGTATTGAACAATGGTTCACTACATGTCCTTTAAAGCTTTTTCAGGTAGCCCAAGTTCACTTTTCTACTATTCAGTACTTGACCTTTTGTCCAAAATCTCATAAGTAATTCAACCTTCCTTTGCCAAGAACTTTTTCTTTTTTTTTTTCCCCGCACTTGATATTTCCCCTCCTTTTATGTGGTTATCACAAATCCCTCTTTCGTCTTTCTACCGTCCTCACGGTCCCTCTTTTGTCCTTTTTTTTTTTTTTGCTTTATCATTTCCAGCCCCGGTGATCGGGTGCAAGTCACAGACGACTCCAACGAGGAGTGGTGGAAGGTGGGTGATGAGACTAAATCATCATTTGTGTGTGTGTGTGTGTGTGTGTGTGTGCATGTGTGTGCGTGTATGATAACAGAAGTGTTGAAATCAAGTGCACCTGCTCAGACACAAATTGAGTCATGTCTCAAAAGAGTATTAAAAAAAGAAAAACAACAACAGGTGTGAGTCTGCATGCGTGTGAATGCGGGTGTGTGTCGATCAGACACGCACGCAGCCTATCAAGGCCCTCATCAACTGCAGCATTTTCAATCAGCGGTGATTGTTGTGAGCACGTGCGCATAATGTGCACTGAACTCCGCCTCTTACAAGATGTGAGAATATGGGATGGAAAAAATTTAGGTGTGACATATGGACACGGAGAATGTTTCGGCCGTTTATGCAGGTGTATTGAAAATCATTTCAGCTTGTCGGGAGTGATTATTGCCACCCGTTTTCCACTCAGGCTACCAACAGAAACACACACGCGCATACAAATGAAAATCTTCTCTATTAACACAAGTAAATTCAAATAATCTGTCCATTATCCCGATGATATTTGTGATTTTTGCAATTCAGTTTTAGGTGATCATCAACGCGCACCGTGTCATGGCGACTTAGGTTGAAATCTGTAATTGTTGTTAACGTGTTGAAGCAAACTAGGCAGATAAGTTTAACGTGACCTAATTTGGTCCTCGCTTCCTGCCAAGACCTGGCCTTCTTCTCTGCTGTCGAAAAACAGTCCAAAGTGATGTCTGCCATCTAATGGTGAACACTGTTATTACAATTTAAAACTGCTCATCCACATAGTAAGCATTTTTCTTTTCAAAAAATGAACCGATGGTCTCACCGAGTGTGGGCGCAGGCCACGTGCGACCACCATTTGCACATCCCAAATTTACATTCTGCAGATTAACAGATCATACAATGAGAAATGAAGAGAAATATTGAAAAATGGTCAGAATGTGAACGAAAATGCAGCCACTGCTGGATTTCCACCTTGTAGCAGTCAGCAACCTCGTCGTGTCGCACTAATATTTATTTATTTTCTTTTTTTACCGGCAGTCTTGAATGACTCATAGAGTAACTGTGGTCCTGTTGTTTTGGCCTCCCCCAGGGCAAGAGCGGCGACAGGGTGGGCTTTTTCCCAGCCAACTTTGTGCAGCGGGTGCGTCCCGGCGAGAGAGTGTGGCGTGTCATCCAGGGAACATCCGCCAGCAGCTGCGGGAGAGGACACATGGTAGTCAAGGAGGCGCAGGTACCCACCCCACAGACTCCGCTTTATGTTGCATTTTATGAGCCCCCCTTGTGTCACTGTAACCATGGCAACCAAGTGATGAAATTCTGAGCTGCTGCATCCTGAACTTCACCCACACACACACACAAATGACAACACAAAAAATTCCTGTCGGTTTAAAGTTTTACATTTTGGAATGGAATTAAAAAAAAAAAAGTGATAAACATTCCTGTCGAATGGAAATGTTGCTAATTCCACACAGTTCCTGAATTATCTCAGTTGCTCACATCCCCATCACACTGCTTCTGTTTTCTAGTCTTATGCCCAGCGATGGTTGTTTATTTTTCCATCGGTGGATATTCCAAAGTAGATTCAGCCAAGCTCGTAAAGCACAAGCTAACAGTTGAGCACAAAGCTGAAGGGCTGTACCAGTGAACGGGCTGTGAGAGCGCTCACGAGTGGTTGGTAAAGGATTAACTTGATTCGCATTGTCTTTTGTCAGATCTGCGTGGGCAAGTGTGAGGACGGTGACACCTTGGTGAAGTTGAGCAGCGGCAAGAAGCGAGGCCTGGTGCCGGCACACTCCATCGAGGAGATCTGAGCTTCGCCAACAATGACATCACCTCCTCTCATCATTTTCGTCTTCTTTCTGCACTGAACGGATGAAGTGGACCAGAAACAAAAAAGTTTTGCCCCAAAGTCTCCTCACTGTAAGTCTTAACGGAGAGCAACATGGACTCTTGTTTGTTTACATTTGGGCCACACGCTTCCTTCTTCCTTTCCGCTTGGCTGCGTTTCATCACCCCCCACTTGAAAGAAAAGGTCGAAGATGGAGAGGGCTATGTGATGTGATTTTTTTTTTTTTTGGGGGGGGGGGAACAATTCCCCTCGCTTGTCAGGCTTCATTACATTACATTTAAAAACCACACAAACAAAAAAACAAAACAGTTTTCTTTAAGGGCATAGTCCAAATCCAATTGCAAACAATAAATGCTTTTTCTTTTCATGTAAATAGGAACACATTTAATTTCAAATGACACATTCAGAGTATGTTAATAAAATATGATGGATGAAAGTTGGATTATCAAATGAACAAAATAGCGCAGCGATGAAACAACAAACAATCGAGTAAATGCTTGATTTTTTTTTTTTTTTTTTTGAAGGAAGTGCAACATCAGTGTTCTTTTTCAGAAATGAGGGATGGTGACAAGGCTATCAATTACGGTGAAAATAATATAATGGATAAAAGCTTTTTAGCAAATTGCAACATCAATTTCAACCAGTGACTTTTTCACATTTTGGTTCCATCTGACGAGTCGAACGTGTGCCATGAAGGAAGCGAAAAACATTTTCGGCATTCACACGAATCCTGCACTCATTCTCCTCATCAAATCAAGGAGAGCGGCAATCCAATGGAAGCGAGGCTCATTCACATATCGAATATTAATGAGGAGTGTGTAAAAGGAAATCAAAGGTTGACCTTTACAAATAAAATCCAAATTTGCTGAACGTAAAACACAACTTTAGCTTGAGATTTTTTCACTTTTAATGGAGCTCATCTACCATGAGTGGTATCACACTTTGCGGCACTCGTATTACTTCATGTACATTTTAATTAAATTATAATGAAGTGCACTTTTTTTTCTTTCTATATTGAATCAAAATGTGAATGTTCAAACCGCCAAATGTTGCAGTGGTTTCAATAACGGTAAATATACTTTTTTTTTTTTAGGAGTGAAAGTTGTCTTGTTTGTGATGAATGTTTACTCCTATTACGCTACTGTATTTTAATGTTAGTCATGATGGTTCTTTTTTTTTTTGTAGGTGGTACTAAAAAGTTTGAAAACAACTGTTCAAGACAGCTGGGCGACGCGAAATTGCCAAGTTGTTTTGCTGCTCGGGCATCAAATTTTCACGATCATTTTGATGATTCGCCATGAAAAGGAGGCACGAGGGCCCATCCATCCCTTCTTGGAGCTTTTATTCGCATTATCCTGTAAATTGATGTTGTTTTCACTCAGTTTAGGACAATCATCTTTTTCCAATTAAAAAAAAGACAAAATTAGGTGTTTTTCATTGGACTAACATAGCCCGAAACCTCGTTGCCTTGTGCGCTCTTTGCTTTGCTCAGGACACAACACATAATTAATGTGCTGTCTAATGAACCCAATTAAAAAAAAAAAAAAAAAAGAAATCCAATTAAAAAGGGGAGGTAAAGATAGACCTGCAAGGAGGTGGTTCAGATGAAAAGCCATTTTGGTCTCATTTCCATGCAAAGGATGTTCGGGCGGGCAGACATTTGTATGAGCTGAAGAAAACGAGTGCCGAGGAACGACGTGTGTGTCGAAGCGTGCCCTCTGAGTCATCACTGATCCAAAGTCACCTACCGTTCGGCTTCCCGTCGTCTGCCTTTCATGTGGGAACGCTCACCGATTCCCCCCCCCCCCGTAAAGGACACTTTGTTTCCGTCCCCTGCGTGAGGCCGCGCAGAGTCGAAGCCGAAATCCTTTCATCCTGGCGTTAGCTTCTAACCATTTTTACGTGCTGATTGTTGTATTCCGTTGAACTGTGAAGACATGAGCACAACTGGATTAAGTTCAGGCGTGTTCACATTGTAGCGTTCTAAACTAAATTTTGTCATTTGTTCTTCTCCGCATCCTTCAAATGTAATTTGAAATTTTTGTCCCTTCCAATAAATGGCTCAAAGTGCGCCGACTGTGGCTTTCCCTGATCAAATGCAACTGCAGTGGACCTGTCTGTCACCTGCTGATTTTATTTTATTTTTCCTAAATACTGTGGATCCCCGCCTACTCACATTTGCAATTTTTATTTTGAATATAGTGGTCCCGTATAATCACTATTCAGCACCCGCGGATTTGCATATTTGCAGATTATTTTCTTATATTTTCTTAAATTTTGGTTATTTTATTCACACATTTTAAAAGCCCTAGCACATATTAAAAAGTACAACAGCAATTAGCTACAGTAAAGCTGACTTTGGGCACGAAACAGGATACACCCTGAACTAGTCCTCCGGCCAATCGCAATATTCTCGAATCCATTTACAGAAAAAGGAAATCACTAGCAGTGACATCAATTCAGGCCATGTAAAAACAGTGACAATTTTGTCCTTATTTTCTCAAATGAAAAACACATTTAATTCAACGCACGCACACACTCACACTCACACAATACTGATGTGCCATGTTCTTTTTAAGCAGCCACATACAATTGCCGGCATGACAAAATGCAGCTGGTAAGGAAATTTAGATGCAAAAATAGAGCTGAGAAAAAGAAATGTAGTTCAGGTAATCACATTTTATGCAAACGCGCGCGCACACACACACACACACACACACACACACACACACACACACACACACACACAGCTTATGTCATCATTCAAACTTCACATTGGTCCACAGGTGGATGAGAAGACTTCATAAGTGCTTGTTTTAGACAAGAAGCACGACTTCGTCTTGGCTTAAATGAGTTAGAAAGGCTTTCGTGGTCTCGAGTCAGTTAATTCACTTTACTTTGTTTGTGGCTCTGCGGCATGAGCACAAACACACGCGCACCCACACGCCATCTCTTCTACATCTTTGTGACGGTCTGTAACGAGAAACAATCCAATTAGCATGTGCACTCGTGAGTTGTTTGCCTGCTCGTCAGTCTATGTGACGTCACGTTGTGTTTACGGGACCCATTTGTTTCTATCTGTGTACATTTGGAAATGAATGCCTTCGAGTGATGACTTGTTTTACTGGCAGGATGACGTACAAACGTCGGGGCTAATATGCGCTGCGGTCATATGAGGCTAATAAATGCTCGGAAAAACGAGTCACCAATCTTTTCCATTGTATTCCGATCTATTTTTTTTATTCGAATACCAATATATTTCATAGCTGAAGCTCTATCTCATCGTCAAACAAAACAGTATTAGCTTAGCATGTTTGTCAGTCATGTTTTTTTATTGACTGAATTGCCCATTTCCTGTGTCAAATGCAACATACGCTTACATGTCGATCGGATTGACCTCCCCAAATGGATATGCAACAACCACCATCTTCATCATGTCATCTCCCTTATTTAAAAAAATCTAATAAAATTCCAGATGAATTCCTATCGGCTCCTTACGGATGGATTTGAATAAAAATGACATCGCAGAGGAGGGGCTTGGGGAGATATTCCTTCCAGGCTCCTCTCACATTTTATTAAAACGCCTTTCAAATGGCTCAATTGAGACGCAGAAAAACAGATAACCTGATTTTAATCACATTTTCGCTGCTTGGCACTGTTGATAAATGATTATAATTGGCAAAATGGCACTAGCATGAGGATGGGGATTTTTTTTTATTTTTTTATTACACAACGCTCTATCAAGTTTTAATAGATGAGGTGGTTAAATTTGATCCACATGGATGCATGGTTGGACTTTTCTATTGGCAACCACGGGCATTTGTCTGGGGCCCCAAGGTTTCCAGGGGCCCCCAAAAATCTAATGAAAACTATTTATCCATCTCACGGGGTGGCCATTTTGCTTTGTACTGCCACGTGCTGTCAACTGAAAATGGCATCCCAGCTACTAAAAGCTCGGGTTGCAAACATTATATGACCAAACCCAGAAAAAGGTGAATCGTCACTTGAGGTACAGTTGAAAATGACTCTTTAATCACAGAATACATTGACGCCGCCGAAATAGTCAACAATATTAAATGAAGATTAAAGTTAAATACGCCTCCAAAGCACAATTCAGCAGTCATCGAGGTATGCACTCAAGTGAATACACCTAATTTATGGATTTATATTTGAAGGCAGACAACGGAAGCGCCCGTGTGACCGTTTCAACACAAGCTTGGAGAAGCTGTGAATTTCTAAGAGATGCCATCAATGGAGCTTTTGATGCACGACTGGCATGGCAGCATTTAATGATGGTGGCCGGATGACAAACAGCCCGGCTTCTGATGGAGGGACATGATGGAACCTGTCTGTCACCTGCTGATTTTATTTTATTTTTCCTAAATACTGTGGATCCCCGCCTACTCACATTTGCAATTTTTATTTTGAATATAGTGGTCCCGTATAATCACTATTCAGCACCCGCGGATTTGCATATTTGCAGATTATTTTCTTATATTTTCTTAAATTTTGGTTATTTTATTCACACATTTTAAAAGCCCTAGCACATATTAAAAAGTACAACAGCAATTAGCTACAGTAAAGCTGACTTTGGGCACGAAACAGGATACACCCTGAACTAGTCCTCCGGCCAATCGCAATATTCTCGAATCCATTTACAGAAAAAGGAAATCACTAGCAGTGACATCAATTCAGGCCATGTAAAAACAGTGACAATTTTGTCCTTATTTTCTCAAATGAAAAACACATTTAATTCAACGCACGCACACACTCACACTCACACAATACTGATGTGCCATGTTCTTTTTAAGCAGCCACATACAATTGCCGGCATGACAAAATGCAGCTGGTAAGGAAATTTAGATGCAAAAATAGAGCTGAGAAAAAGAAATGTAGTTCAGGTAATCACATTTTATGCAAACGCGCGCGCACACACACACACACACACACACACACACACACACACACACACGCGCACGCACAATCTTTTGTCTTTGCGCTTAAGCCGTCAAATTGTAAACAATAGCCCTACTTCATGTATTCCGATGCCAAACTACAACTCAATTCTTGTCATTATCATCATTTATTCCTAAAAAGAAACCCTACCTTTGTAATAAAACAAATTTTTCATTTGCTATAATGTAGGGCTATTAACAATGTTTTTTGTTAAAAAAAAAAAAAAATTTAAGACTTTTTTTTTTTTTTTGCATCATACTTTTTTTTTT